TATGTTGGCAGATTTTGATGTGAAAGGACTTTTTCCACTGGAAGAAGCTAAAATGGATTCTTGGTGGATTTGTTTAGGCCTATTACAAACACAGCTTTTCACTTCACAAGATTGATCAACTGGGGTCGTGATGTTTTTTTTTCTGTTCTGAGAAAGAAACACACTCATCCACAGTTTGGATGTCCAGTTTTGAGCAAACTTTCATTTTGGGCGAAGTTAGAAAGTTGGAGAATTAATTATTTCCGGTGCTGATGTCTGCCTGCAGGATGACTGCAGCACTGGATCGTTCATGGAGTGAATAGCGTCCCCTATCGTTACTTGAGACAACAGGTGGTCATTTTAGCCACTGCCAGTGTTTAAATTAAATGATCATATTTCTGCATTTCAGAAAAGAAAAGCTGTTCATATAATAACAGAAGAAAGAGAAAACAGGTTTTGTGGATGAAATGTGATTGACACGGCGAATGAATGCCTACTACAAACAGTAGGCCGCCTAATCTAACAACGTAAAGCGTTTTCTGTACTTCATTGGAACGTGTCGTTGATTGTGGGCGTCATCAAGAAATCGAAAGTATCACGAAGTGAAACTGCGCGAGGTACCTGAACGTCTGCTGCTCACAGTACCGCGATCTGCTTGTCTGAAAATAACGAACATTTGCATTTATTATGTCCAAATCTAAAGTGCTGAAGATAAACTCTGACAATGCAGTGAAGGTAAGTTCATCTCTTTAGTATTTACACTAAGTATGTATACACTAATTAGTATACACTGTCAAAAGAGTGCACTAAAAGTAAACGCGTTCGCGACTTGTGCTTTGACATTATGGCTCCACAATGTTTTAAAAGGGCTTTGTGTTGTTGTTTTTGGTAGTTTTTGAACATAAAACACTGCTGGAGATAGCAATATGCTAAAAAATATATCCTGAGTCACTTCCTCATCCACGAATGTTGAAAGTGAAAGTAAACATGGAAAGCGTGATCATGTTCATGGACAAAGATAATGTAATTATACATTTATGTTTCCTTTATCCAGATAGAAAACTACCGACAGTCACTGTATAAGCAGGTATGAATTCAATAATACACACATAGGCTATATTTGAGATCGTTGTTTATGGTTGTTTGTGTTGTTAATATTGTGTTGACAGGCAGAAGACCTGTTCTCCAATCACATACCTCTGAAGATCTCACAGCTTGACAACCTGTTGAAGGTACATTTACCTTTGTTCATTTGGCAGAGGCTTTTATACAAATTGGCCAATACATTTGGGTATTCATTTATGTGTGTCCATGGGAAGTGAGCTTGTGACCTTGGTTCTGCTGCCCAGGTTACCAACTGAGCAATTTAACATTGACTTCAGCAACAATGAATTAAAATAATTATCTTTTATGGTTTAGGGGGATGAGTTCAATATCACTGACCTCTCATCTCTCCATGCACCCCTGGACATTCCCATTCCTGATCCCCCTGCTCCAGAGGATGAGGTTGGCATTCAGCTTGTGATTCGTAAAGATGCTTTTTGAAATATATTTCAAATATATTTCAAATGGGGGGGGGGCACATTAAATAAAAATATTTAAAACATGTCTTAAAATATTTTAACAGGAGATGGAGACAGATAAAAATGAAGATGATGAGAAAAAGAAGAAAGGTTATTTCACACACACACACATGTTGTGTTTCCATGTTTTATGGGGACATTCCATAGGCGTAATGGTTTTTATACTGTACAAACTGTATGTGCTATTGCCCTACACCAACCCTACCCCTAAACCTACCCCTTACAGGAAACTTTGTGCATTTTTACTTTCTCAAAAAAAATAATTCTGTATGATTTATAAGCTTGTTTCCTCATGGGGACCTCAAAAATGTCCCCACAAGGTCAAAATTTACTAGTATTACTATCCTTGTGGGGATATTTGGTCCCCATAACGTGAAAAAATACCAGGTACACACGCACTCACACACACACACACACACACACACACACACACATATATGTTGGGTTTCCATGTTTTATGGGGACATTCCATACAAACAAAAATGGCATGTGCATAATAATTTGGAACAAGGTGTATAACGTTGTTTCAACCATCTGAAAATCGACATTTTCGTCGAGATTTGAATGGCGTGCTGGCATTTGTTCAACATTACCCCGATGAGCAAAACAATGCTGGATCGACGTCGGAGATCAACGACGTTTCGATTCTACGTTGATTCTATGTCACTTTTGATAAAAGTAGCACAGTAAAGTAGCCTAATCCACATGATTCCAGTCCATATCGTCTTGTGAAGCTAAAAGCTGCGTGTTTTTGTAATAAACAAATCCATCATTAACACTTCAAACGATTGCTTCAAGCTAAATGAGCCCTCTGTTCATATTGCTTTACCCAGTGAAAAAAATCATTTTGTCTGAATCAGGAGAGAAATATGTGCAGATCAAACACAGTTTACAAGTGAAAACAGTCCAAAACAGTTCTAAAAAAAATATATATATATAAACCTACCCCTTACAGGAAACTTTGTGCATTTTTACTTTCTCAAAAAAAATAATTCTGTATGATTTATAAGCTTGTTTCCTCATGGGGACCTCAAAAATGTCCCCACAAGGTCAAAATTTACTAGTATTACTATCCTTGTGGGGATATTTGGTCCCCATAACGTGAAAAAATACCAGGTACACACGCACTCACACACACACACACACACACACACACACACACATATATGTTGGGTTTCCATGTTTTATGGGGACATTCCATAGACATAATGATTTTTATACTGTACAAACTATACAAACATTTATAGATTTTCAAAACAACTCTGTAACATTCTGTATGATTTACAGTATAAGCTGTTTTCCTCATGGGGATTTCCACATGCAATCATGAGTACATGAATGACTGAGCGAAATTGTATTTATGAGTGGGAAATTTGGAAAGATGATACACAAATAACTGATGTTGAGAGAGGTATGTTAATTTGAAACATTGCAGAAACACTGATCTATAGCTAATATAGATCAGTGGTTCTCAGCCTTTTTGACTCCGAGATCCCTCATTGTCCACAACAATATTTGAAGGGCCCCATCCCTAGTTTTTTTTTCAAAACTTATTTTAATCTACGGGTACTCCTGGTTTCTGTAAATTAAAACGTTACTAAAATAATTATAAAATTAAAATAGGAGCTGAATGTTCTTTAGGCAAAATTTTTATGCACTGATTAAATGAAGATGAATGTTTACCAGAGTTATATAAAGAAGAAATGTGGATAAAAGTGCCCTAAAGTTGCATATGTGCACTAAACCATAACTGTGATACATTGTTGTGATATGGAATATGGCATATTTTTGTAATGTTACATTTGTCTTTTGTCAGCTCCCAAGTGTGGCTTCATCAAAGGAAATGACCGGATTGTGAAGTTGCTGGATATTGTAAAACCAGAGATAATGGCCCTGAAGGAGACCTGCATCACTGTAAATGGGCAAAATTTGTCTCATAGATAAGTTCAGCATTTTCCCAGATGTACAGTAGTGGCAGCTTTATTCTTTTATCATTTTCTTCCCCAGGTTTCTTGCTGGATTTCTCATCTAATTCCAAAAATAGAGGATGGAAATGATTTTGGAGTTGCAATTCAGGTTATTAACCCTTAAAAGGCTCAGACTCCTATTAAATGCTGCTTTATACTACATAATGTTTTTTTTCTAAACCTCAAAGATAAGCAGTGGTTAACATGACTGGTTGATATTTTAGGAGAAAATCCTTGAGAGAATTACTGCTGTGAAGACGAAGGTGGAGGGTTTTCAGACCAACATTAACAAGTATGAGCAATTCCTAACTATTTCAGTACATTATGTTTACTGAAGATTGTAAAGGTGCAATATATTTTACACTGCCCACATTTATTCATTTTGTCGTGTTGGTAATGAAAGTGTGTTTATCTGCAGGTACTTCTCAGAGAGAGGTGATGCAGTGGCCAAAGCTTCTAAAGACACCCACGTGGTGAGTGACCTATCAAATCAACTTATTAGTGTAATTACTTTTTTTTTGTATAGCCACAGTTATTAAATAGGGCTTTCAATACCATATTCTCAGTTTTTGTCATTTAACCCTTTGATGCACGAGTTAAGAGGTCATTTGAGTACTCAGTGCAAACACAATAGTAGTAAAACATTGTGAACATTCTGTAGCCCTCAAACATGAAATTGAGTATTTCAGAAATGACAGTTTTGCAAGAAAATGCAATTGCAATTTTCAGACACAATAAACATCCCCACCTTTTAAGAATACGAACAGGCAAGTACAAAGCAATTAAATACATGCAATTATTAAAAATATATTATTAATTTCATTTTATCTGCAGTTTACGCTAAAATTAATAGACGATTATTCCATGATTTGCATATTTAACTATTTGGGGATAAATCAGCAAATTTACACATTGACCTCATCACATCAGAAGTATTATAGTATAGTTTCAAGTCACTTTTAAAGCCGTGAAACACTTTCATGCCCTTTTTGTGTAATAATAAAGAATATGTTTTTTTGACAGATGGATTATCGCTCTCTGGTGCACGAGAAGGATGAAGCAGCATATTCTGAGATTAGAGTGATTGTGCTTGATATACGCGGTTTCTATGTGAGTTGCTTACATTTATTCATTCAGCAAACAGCTCCTAAATGAGAAATGCTACAACACAAGCTTTTTTCATATGAATCATGGTAGTTGTGGACACATCCGTATGGCTGTAGATTCAGATGTCTCTTGTTTCCAGGCTGAACTCTATGACGTCATCAGCAAGAATCTGGAGAAAGTGACGAATCCCAAAGGAGAAGAGAAGCCCTCCATGTACTGAGACAGATGCTTACTGGGAGCAGTGTAGTTCTACAACTAGACCAGTTTTCAGAATTTCTCATTTCTTCATTTTTAACTCTACAGATACATCCCTAAAGTGGTTAATAAACTTAAGTCAGTCATAAACATACAGTGTGTCGTAGTACAAATGATGAGTTCAGGTATATCCAAATGTACGTTTATTTCAGCATATACAAAATCAGGAAAACGCACAAATTCATAAATGTGACATATTCTTAAAGCAAAGAACCACATTAAAACCAAAAATGATGACTTCACAAAACATACTCGGTTTCTTCATTCACACTTCAGAAATATATATCACACCAAATGCTGTTATAACATACAACTGAATTCCAACTCAGTCCAATTCATTTGATTTGTTTTATTGTAACAACAAATCTTTACAAAAACTTTTTGGATCACTTAAACAATAGAACTAATGTGGGAAAACTCCCCTCATGAACTGAAAATGAATTTTTGAAAACAAGAAGTGATCAATTCTAAGTTTTTTTTTTAATGAAACAAGAACATAAATTGTATATTTATTTTGTGGAAGGTGCGATACATTTCTCAAACTTCTGGTCCTTCTCCTCCTGGAATCAACTGGAAAACAGCAGAAACACATTATTTCATTACATTTGACAAAGTAATGTGTCATTTTGCATTAGCATTCATCTATTAATGCAATTTCAGTTTGGTGTGTTTTGGTAATGTTTGAAATGGATTAATAATAATCCAATTAATTAATACTAATTCAAATGTTTCTGTAAAATTCGGACATAGAGAAGTATAGCTATTTATTAGGTTTTGTTTTATTGGTCTATCATAGACAATTATTTAATAGCATTCTTCCTTGTTTTTTTTTTTTAGTAAAAAAAAAATGTTGTTACAACTTTCTATATGACCCAGCTTTACTGAATCCTAACAGTTGGTGGTCATTGTAAATGTAGTGCACTGCAACTTTCATTAACACATTAGCTACAAAAACAACTAACTTATATAAGAGCTTTACTCAATTTTATATTACTCGTATGCATATTCATACACTAAACCAATCTCAAAGCAAATGTTGTCAATTCATTAAGTGTGATATATAGTGGATTATTAGTTGATTTAAAGATGAACTCAATAATTGATCATACCATTGTGATGTTATTGCCATTGAGTAGAATCTGATCCAGCTTTGTGATTCTTCTTCCTTCTGGAGTGATTTCACTGACACACAAAAATAACTGTTGTTATGGCTCAGTGACATCCGAGATGAAGAATCATCTCTTCAAGTTTTCTGAAATGTAATCTCACATTCATGTTGATATCAAACATTTTTTGTAAAATGTTTTTCCAAACATGATATCAGAATTCAATTTCAATTTGAGAAAACGTGGTGGAGCCACGTAAAAAGTCATAAAATATTTTCCTTACACCTTGAATACAAAGGTGTACACTTCAAAAACATATATGTGCATTTTTGAAACATTATTATATAATAAATAATCAATGTATAACATGTACACCTGGCATGTTGGAGACAGGACGAATGCCATTTCTTGGGGAGCCAAAGCAAAGAGACTCATGCGACATATTAAGCCCCCTTTTCACATTATTTTCGGTTTATAACACTATTTTAAAGAAATACAAAAATTAGACATATTCCAAACTCTGTATGAACCTTGTTAATAATAAGAGCACCATGGTGTCTGACCCCTAAATATCCCAGAAAATAAATATAGCCTACATTAGAGTATAAATATATATTCACGCATATCATATATATTTAGTCATAAATTTGAGGAGCAGTTAAAGTCAAAGCAGATGGGTGCATACATCGGGGAAAGATAATAAAGAAATATATAAGCACATTTTTAGGTAGGAACATGTACTTACAACTCTGTCACATCCTCAAGAACCATGTCTGATTAAAGCAGTCAAGAAAATATATCTGTGGTACAGTCCTGCCACACTTTTTGAATTGAATGCACCTTCTCGTTCTTTACATCATATGAAATAAAGGGTAATGCAGACTTTATTTAAACTGTAACTATAATGGCATTATAATAAAGAGTCTCTTACACAGGGTTTCTGCAGATATGAACAAGTTAAATTGAAGACTTTTTAAGACCTTTTCAATACCACCTTATATGAAATTTAAGACCTAAACCTGTAATGGAAAGACATTTTAAGACTTTTTAAGGACCCGCGGACACCCTGCTTACATTCATAGGACAAATAAATGCTCGCAAAGTGTTAGTATGTCCAGAGGAGTGAATGTGTAACAGTGTCATCAGCTCTGTACTTGTATTTTATATAAAAAAAAAATAATAATCTAATGCTAAAACATTAACCATCACAAATATGTGCCAGTGTTTCTCCAGCATGTAAAAGGATACTGACAAAGTCATCAAACCCGAGCAGAGTTCCCACAATCTCTTTATCGTTCTTCATGACAATGTGAATCCGTGAGCCAATGCATTTATCCACCAGCTCTGAAAGAGATCACAGAAGAGCAGCACAAGACTGAGGCTATTAATGGCTGCAGTACATGTTGGGGGCAGTGTGAAATCTTCTAAATTTTCCATAGCACATTACAGTATACCTCAAGACACATACAGTAAGTATCCCACAATACAATGTGCTTGACACTCTAAATCAGTGTGATGAATGAAGCAGAACTGACCAAAAAACAACATCGATCATTTTGTTATAACTGAAGCTTGCCAGTTAGCCAAGTGTCAAATTGATATTAAGGTTTTGATCAACTTTAAATCAAAGAACGAACAGGTGTGACATCCTTTCGAACTAAATCTGGCAAAAATGAAGTTCTGTTGGAGTATCATCTAGAATTCGGAGTTTTCCACTTTTAAAACGACTTGGTCTTGACGCTTGGTAATTCGTGTGCTTGTAGCTCGTAATTATGATATTCCCGACTACAACTGAAGAGCACACAAATTATTAGTGAACTATTCGATACAGCCACACTTTGTAACAGAATTTGCCCATACTCACTGCAGGGACGGATTTCCTTTTATATCTTAGGTACGAATCACTTAAATTAAATCATATATTTAAATGATTAGACTTATGCATTTAGTATACACGTGCGTCCAATAAAATAAAACAATAAATAAAACGTACTGAGATTTGAATGCGCGAATTACACATGAATTACAACAAGTGCAAAAGTTAAATTAGTAAAGTAAATAACACATCAAAACAAAAGTCGCACATACCGAGAGGTAAAAGCTGCGAGGGATTCGTCGACGCGATTGCCGCCATTTTGATAAACAGACCTTCTTCTTCTTCTTTTTGTTCAATGGCCGTTCACTCCTTAGGAGTATTACCGCCACCTACTGTATATCTTGCGCACATGGGTCTGTACGATAAACAGTACGATAAATCTGTACGATAAACAGACCTGAATAATCAGCAGTGAAAAAAAATTACAAACATGAGTAATCGATATTAGCAGCCATCGATGGCTGTATAAACACAAGGGGGTGCTGCTCTTCCGTTTGTTCGGATAGTAGTTAGTAGATGGTAGACTTTTCTTGTAAAACCTGACCATGTTATGCATATTCTCTCTGATAAAAAATTATTAGTATGCATTATAAGCTACGTTCAGTTTTTAACATTAAAACATTGAATTTGTACTTTAACAATTATTTCACACTTAAGAACTATTTAAGTAATTTTAAAAGATTTACACATTTTCATTTTGTTACAAAACTGTCCAATGATAATTTTTCTTTGCATGCATTGTTACCCTTTTTGTAATTGTCACAGTATTTTTTTTGTCTTGTGTTTTCACCATAGACTGTATAAAAACAGGTTTTCACCTGTACAAACTGTCACCGTAAGCTGCCAGACTTTTTCTTTATGATTCATGCACTACTCCTTACAAATTAGACAATGTGGACAAAAGCATCTGCTAAATGAATATATGCAAGTCTAATGGCCTGTAATGTGCATGGTGTATTCAAGATTACTGTGATTTTTTTTTTTTTTTTACTTCTCCAAAGAAGTGTACTTTGGTCTCCCACCAAGAGCAGGAGAATGTCCTTGAGAGCATGCAGCCTTCTTCAGACTGGAGATGCTGTTAATTTTTGAAACGATGCTCAATATCAGGATACCTGGGACCCATGCACTATTTATTGTAATACAGATATGCTGATGCCATCTCTTTTTACTCAGCATGAACTTTCCAATAATATGATATTGGAAAAAAAAAAAGATATTGTACTGATGTGAATGCCACCAGTGTTGGGGGTAACGCAACACTGGTGGCATTACGTAACTCGCGTGAGTTATGTAATCAGATTACTTTTTTCAAGTAACTAGTAAAGTAACGCATTACTTTTTAATTTACAAGAGAATATCTGAGTTACTTTTTCAAATAAGTAACGCCAGTTACTTTTTTTTCCAATTTATTGATTGACAGCTCTGGTGTCCTGTAATGCATTACTTTTAAAAGTAACTTTCCCCAACACTGAATGCCACAAATAAAACTTTATAACTTTTTTTTTTCCAATTAATTCTGGAAAGTTTTAGGATTATAATTATGAAATACTAATATTAAAATAAAGACAATTCATAAAAAAAAGAAGAGGAAACATTTCGGATTGTGAACTTTTTATGGGTTATTAATCAAATGTGAGTAAGTGAGTGTAACTGATCATGTGATTCTTGGTCATATGTTATGGATTCTCTTTCAAACATCTCAAAACCTAAGAACGTGATCATCATGTTTTATTTTGTCTGCTCTAGGGCTGCTGTCATTAAATGAATAGTTCAACCAAAAATGTGAAAGCTTGATGAATTTGTTTAATTACAAAAATGTCTGATGTACACACAGTAAGTGTTGACCTTTTGTATGAACTCTCCACACTCCAGCTCAGTTGGTGGCAGTGATGCGCTAAAAGAACAAGAAGAAGTCTGTTTCGTGATTGGGTGCATGTCAGCATCAATCTGATTGGCTGCAGCACACCGCATCGTGAACGAGCTAAAGCTCTGCATCATAAACTGAGCATTTTTATCGCAGCAAACATAAAACACAATAAACCGCCTCACTGGTTTATTTCTTTAGTGTCTAACTGTTAGCGAAGCCTTCTAAAGGTGAGTTGTATTCTTCAGCAATAAAATGTTTGACTTCATAATTAAATTGCTATTCTGTCTGATGCTGAAACTGGTGTACTGTAGATACATTTTAGAGTGTTTTTTTTTTTTTTAGTGTTAAAACACCAGGTGAAGATATACCTTCCAAGACGCATTGTGGAGGGATAAAACATTAATCTTTCAAATCAGGTTTTGAGACGACTCCAAGATTGGACTCGGCCAAAGACCTGTATAACGAAGCAAGTTTGCAGGCCAGTGGTTTAGATGTTTATATTCCATGTCAAACCACGAAATAATCTTGTTTTATGTAAATCGCTGCTTCCAAGACATTAGAAACTCGGTTGTCTTTTGGCCTCATAGTTAGAAACTGCTACTATGTCTAAAGAAATGTTATTACTTTCTTCTCATAATTAGAAACTGCTACTATGTCTAAAGAAATGTTATTACGGTCCTCTCATATTTAGAAACCGCCACTGTTACTACGTTTCGCTGTACTCGTAAAGGAATAACATAACCTGACTTCTGTGGACCACGAATGAAAATATTTAGAAGAATGTTTTGGTTACTTGACCACTGTATAGACAAACAGACATTTCTCAAAATATCTTTTTATATGTTCCACAGGTGGGGAAGTCAAACAGGTTATAACGACATAAGGGTGAGTAAATGGTGACAGAATTTTCATTTTTTTACTGAACTATGGCTTTATTTTTTTAAACTATAACATTTTTAACAAACAACTAATTTAACACAAATTAATTTTATTTCATTATCAGGATATATCACAGCTATGTGTGTGTTTGTTTGTTTTTTTACAAATTTTGATAACACAGCAAAACTAATTCTAGGCTAACTTATAGAAGTAAAATTACTTCGAATTTATTGAAGTCAAGTAAACGGACAGCAATTAAAAAAATAAATAATCAAATTCAGACGTGTTTCCTCCAGTCCTGACTGACTGTTGAAAGTGTTTCAGTCACATTGGTGTCTTTATATGATTGGCCTCAGGTCACATGTGATCCAAGTTGAACAACATCTTTATAAGAAAATCCCTGGCTGTATCCACATCTTTATCACATCCATGTCTTCTTTACAGATGTCTTTCCATGCTGGCCATGGATGTCCGAGGGGAAGACCAGCAGCTCCGGGTCCAATGTATCAGCCCGCTCCCCCACGGTATCACTACGACCCTCCAGCCGCTCCCGGTCCCATCTATAACCCTCAAGGCGGCAGTGGCTACATGCCACCTCATCCCGACTTCATGCCATTCCATTTCCCTGCACCATCACATGGCTCTAACGCTCTGTCCCAATGCCCCATACGTCCACCGGTCTTCCCAGAGCCGCCCCCTTTTCCTCCACTTGCTCCTCACAACTCCGACAGCTCCGTTCCAGTTCAGAGCTCTTACCCCTACATGATGCCCACCATCACCCCTCCACCCCTTCCACCTGTGCCACACTCAGTGCCACCTTCCATGCCCTACCCACCATCATATCCCATGAGCTACCCTCCACAGCCACAGCTCCCTCCTCCACCGAGCTTCAACCCAGCTTACGTGCAGCCTGGAGGTTCCTTCAAACCTGAACGCTCCCGCCCGCCTCTGCAGTACAAGGCGGACTCCTGTTCTCGCTCACCTGAAAGACTTCGTCACCATGATGACCACCGGCACAGTGGCCACAGCTATGGAGGATATGGAGGCCGACATAACCGAGAGTTTGGAGGAGAGAAACGGGACAGAGGATGCAGTTCAGAGCGCAGGCGGTCAGACAGCCCACGGTATAAGGTGGACTATGAACGAGGACGCGTGCCGTCGAGACACCGCAGCAGGTAACACATGTTGTTGCTTATCAAAGTTTAAATGATTTTTAAATATGAACAGTTAAGAGTATAAAATTGTGAACGTGTTCATGCTAAAGTGTATTATTTAATAAAGTGTAATAATGCAATTCACTTTTTACCCCAAATATTTTTTCTTGTGCCTTTCATTGTGGAAGTGGTGACATTAAATGTGCTGTTCTGGGACAGTTGTCACCCACAGATCCAGTTTTTAAGTAAGATTGAACAAATTAAGTAAGAGTCAACAATATTGACAAGTGTATCTGTCCTGATGAAACTATAAGTTATACACGCATAATAAATGAACACAATAGTGTTGTCATGATAGCAAAATTTCAGTAGACTGTACCAATACCAGTATTTTATCAAAAACCATTGGAATTTTTAAATTTATTTATAAATACAAATATTAAATAAAGTTGTTAGTTGTTAATGCTAACAATAATACATTTATCTCTGGCATTTTAAGCTTTAAATAATATATTATAGCCTTTAAATGATGTTCAATTAAGTAGTAATTGCATTAAAAAGATAATAAAGTAGTAATGTGTTTCGTAAGTAATAAAATGAAGAAAAAAAAAGAAACACATTGCATGTAATATTACAAGTGGCATGTCTATTGCAATTAAACTGCAAGATGTAATGGAATGCACAGATCTCTTTTGACATTGATTGATAGATAGATAGATAGATAGATATGGTAGTAATAATTTTAATCATAGTGATTTCAAATATGGTTGGCACTCCCAAAACTTGTTAACTTTAAAACTTTATTCAAATTATGAATAGGTTATATAAGGATAGCTAGCAAAGAGATTTCCCTTTATAATCACTGAATCTGATATCACTTTAAGGGGAAGTTCACCCAAAAATGAAAAATCTGTCATCATTTACTCACCCTCAAGATGTTCCAAACCTGTATGAGTTTCTTTTTTCTGTTAAGCACAAAAGAAGATATTTTGAAGAATGTTGGTAACCAAACAGTTAACTGTACCCATTGACTCCATAGTATGGCACATTATAAAGAAAATACCCCTTTCAGTCCCCCTTCCCCTAGCCAGCCAGTCATGGACTGACTTATTAAAATTGACCAAGCAACAAAATTATTTTTTTGTGATTTGTTTAGTTGTTTAAACCTCTCCACAGCTTTTATACACTTGGTTCAATAAGTACTATTGCTGGGTTGCCTGTTACTGTATTGTTTTTTACCACAGTAATATTGCCTCAATCCACCAGAGAACGCTATCGGCATAGAGAGGAGCCAGGTTCATCCCCCTCAGACAGACACAGGAAACACATTCGCAATCGCTCAGGCAGTCGAGAGAGAAAGCGCCGACGTGTGGAGGAGGAGAAAGGGAGGAGAACAGACAGCGCCTCAAGCAGTCGAGAGAGATCTGTAAACTACAGCAGGAGTAGAGACGCAGAGGAGACGTCTACTGACCGCCACGAGGAGGAGAAAGGAGAGGAGGAGTTACTCAAACCTGCCTGGATACGCTGTACACATGCTGAGAACTACTACTCAAACGATCCCATGGACCAAGTGGTAATCAACAATAATTAACACAACACAAACTGCGGACAAGCAGATAGTCCCGACCCAAATTCAAAAGTCTAAAGTTGACATGTTGGCCTGCTTAAACAAACAGATCATTTTTTTGAAACGTCACAGTGTTACAAACTTCAGGAAGTAAAAATAACAAGGATTTACTAGTGACTCTGAACATTAAACTGACATTTTTTACAAATTTACCACAAAATTGCACTCTACTCCTTTAAAATGTACAGTAAAGAGTTTTGTACTAAATATTGGCATCGTGACCAAAACATGTCAGATACTCAGGAGCTGTTTCAGGAACTGTTTCTTATCATTTTTATTCATCTGTAGGGTGACTCTACAGTCGTGGGCACTAGTAAGTTGAGAGATCTGTATGAGCGCTTTGAGGAAGAGCTTGGTCGGAGGCAGGTGCGGGCCAAATCCAGTAGGCCTAAATGGGAACCACCCAAGACCAAACTGGACCAGGATCAGGGTATTGTGTATTTTACTATTTCAGATGTGTACAGTATATTTTATAATATAATATTCTATAACATTTGCCAACATTATAAACATGAACAATCTGCAGTGAAATCAGGAAACTGTATATGTCTTTATATATTTGCAATTATAAAAAGCTAAAATATCAACACCAGGAAGTTTTGCTCACTCAGGCCTAACTCTAATAGAAAGATGAATTTGTTGTGTTGTGCAGATGAGAGCTCCAGTGAATCAGAATGTGATTCTAACGGAGGCGGTAGCAGCTGCTCCAGCAGTTCTGACTCTGAGGTATTTGATGTCATTGCTGAGATAAAGAGGAAGAAAGCTCATCCTGACCGCCTCCACGAGGAGCTGTGGTACAATGACGCCGGACAGGTGAGCTTCACCTTCACTGCAGCCTTTTTGCTGAGAAATTATGGTTGTTTTGCTCAAAATGCCATTTTAAGCTAGCGATGCATCAAAATAAAAATAACTGAAACCAGATCATTCTGGACCCTATAGGCTGAAAAACCAAATCCGGAGATGCTAATTAAAAATGTTAAATAACAAAACAAATGATATTTAAGATTTTTTTTACCTGTGTTCTTACATTGCTGTGTCACAGACAAACTGGATTCGACGAAGGAGCGTCTGGTGGGCTTGCAGCAACCACATGTGACGACCCCGGGCTGGAATCCACTTCGTCCACGGTGAAAGCCGATCCGGCAATTGACAGCGCGAAGTTGATGTATTTCTTCAGCGACCAGCACGGATCAGCTCTAGGCATGACGAAGCGATATCGTCCTCTTTTGGAAGGCCAACCAAAGTAGTTTCGCTTTCACAACGAAACACACAGCACCTTCACGACATGGCGGCAGCAACAACAATACTACAGCGAGAATCAAAGTTACGCCTTCTTTCTTTGCGTGAACATTTGGGCGGCGTTATGCAAATCTTCCCAGATAGTGACGTAGGTATGTGGGGGCGTGTTCGAACGAGCCGTTTTAGGTAGGCGTGGTTGACTCTTAACTTTTATAAAGAATATCTCTTTGGATTTGAGACTTTAGCCTTTGCAACTTTACAGATCTTCTTTATGCACCAAGAGCTTGTAACACTCCAAAGAGAAAGGAAAAATTGAAATCGCATCATATGACCCCTTTAAAATGCCTGTGCTAGTAAAGGGATGCTTCACCCAAAAATTAAACTTCTGTCATCATTTACTCACCCTCATGTCATTTGAAACACGTAAGACTTCAATTCGTTTTCAGAACACAAATCAAGAATTTTTTTGTGTTCGTTCGTTTGTTTGTTTAATAAAACCTAAGAGGTTTCTGTCTTACGAGTGAAAGTCCAGGTAACCAAAACTTAAAAAGATCCAAGTAGGTTATAAAGGCATTGTAAAACAAATCCATATGAATTGAGTGGTTTAATTAAGTCTTGTGAAAAATACAATTGCTTTCTATGGTGAATAGTGAATTTAGGCTTTTACTTACATCTGTTCATCATATGATGTAATTTTATCTCTTTACAAGAAGTTTTGTATTAGGAGCGCGAAGGTGAGTAAATGATGACACAAATTTCTTTTTTGGTTGAAGTATCACTTAAACCAGATGTGTTATTCATGTAGCTAGCTATAGACGTGTCAACAGTTTTAACTAACTTATATAATAATCTAAAGAAAATAATCTAAAGAGTTCTTAAAATAACCATTAGTGCTGAAGTTATGACATTTGCATAAGTATTAATTGTTTGATTTATATTCAATTCAATTCAAGTTTATTTGTATAGCGCTTTTCACGATACAAATCGTTGCAAAGCAACTTTACAGCAAATTAAGTTTCTACAATATTTAGTGGTAGCTTATCCGTGGTGACTGTCAGTTAATGTACATATGGCAGAAATGTACGGAAAAATCAATTAAAGATGTAATCAAACAGACGATGAACAATATTAACAGCAATTCTTATATGATGCAATCAAACTTATAGCAAAATTTGGTAGTTCTGTAAGTTGTTTCATGGCTGGCATCATCTGAGGTCCACTTTATATAAGTGTATTTGAATGGCTTAAAATCAAGTTACAGTTATTCTTATTTCTTTGTTCTTGCGTTTAAAACTCAGATGAATGACGGGCCGTTATGCAAGTGCAGTGCCAAAGCCAGGCGAACTGGAATCCGACACAGTATTTATCCGGGTGAACAGGTATACACGCATTCATTCAATCATTTCATCGCTTTTAAAGCCATAATTCGATTTTTAATAAATATATTTTTTGGGGTTATACACTTTTATAGGCAAACATTTGAAATTTGAAAGTATCTGAAGTTTGGAATTAATAAGACAACTGGTGGAAAAAGACTTATTCTGTGCAATATGAAAAGCACAAACTGTTCAGGAGAGAAGCTTTGGAAGCATGTTTGAAAAAGCGGGAATATTCTGGGATGAGACTTTTGTAAACCCTTAATCTAAATTTCTGCATGAATAGGCTAAATGTTTGCATGGCTCTGTTGGGCCTAGGATAGCAAGGAGTTGATAGTAAATATTTGCACATGTGGTGCTCCAGTTGAACTCAAACTCTGCATTGACAAGTGTTATCTGAGTCAAGTGCTGCATTGGGGGCCATTCACACAGAACACAAGATTTGGAGTAATGGAAGTTTTATTCTAAAGATTAACTCCATTAACTGGATAACAGATGCTGAAGAGATGTGCCAAGACGTCTGTCATAAGTGGTCGGTGTGGGATGGATTTTTCTGTCTTGCTTTCTTTCAAAGACATAAAGACCAAGAAAATAGTCAATTTTATATCTTCTCTGCAACCTGTAAAAAACACTGGTAACCGATACCTCTCCAGGTACATCTCCAGAATGGTGGAAGTTTCGGCATTTCTCAGCCCCTGCTCCACAGCTTCATTTGAGACCAGCACATTTTTAGGGCCAGAGTTGAACCAATGTCCCTGGGACTCGCACCTGACCCATGTCAGTGGAAAACTGTTGTCTTTTTGTTCTCCAACTTGAACCAAAAGGGGAGTGAGGTTAATAGGCTGGTATAAGAGGTTTATGCTTAATATCACATTTTATCTATTTGATTGTTATAAATGTCAGTCATTGTCTGGGTTGTCAAACTGATTGGAATGGTCAGCATCTTTTTCTCTCTCTTATAGCCAGTGAAAGCGTGTCGGCCGATGAGTAACAATGCTGGTAAACTGTTCCACTACAGAATAACTGTGTCCCCACCCACCAACTTCCTAGTAGGTTTCTGTGCTGTTTTAATCTAAGTATTCATCTGATTATTATTTTTCTGTTCTTTTATTGTTTCTGCCTGTGAATAAAACTGTTGCTCTTTCTCTCTCTCTTTCAGACAGATAGACCCACGGTTATTGAGTATGATGACCACGAGTACCTTTTTGAGGGCTTTTCCTGCTTCTCTCACACACCACTTACTAATGTAAGCATGTGACTTCTGCATGGTTGCGTTCAAAACTAATAACTAGATTACTATGTTCTTTAGTGTTTGTGAATAAACAACAATTTAAAAAAAACAGTATCTAAATAATATAAACTTGTCTGTTTTAACTTGGCAGACGAGCCATGGTGTAACTGTTTGTGAAATAAACTCCACTCATAGGAATTATATCAGCAGCACATATCCAGAAGTTTCTCTGCTTATAACAGTAGTTCAACAGCTTCAAGTCAAGTCAGAACTTTTCAGTTAGACTTTTGGGCTCAGATTTACTAACAGCTTGTGTTAGCGCAAACAGTGTCAAGATTTACTAAAGACATGCAGTGAAAAAGGCATGGACAGTTATTTTTGCGGCTGACTGGCCTTACCACATGTGCATTTGTAGGAGTTTCCTTTTCAGACGCAACATTGATGGGAGGAGAGTATTCAAATAAATCATGCGACGTGATTTACTACAGTTTGTGGTAGTCAATTTACTGGTATTTGCGTCATTATTTAACTTCCAAAAAAGCATGTCTTAGCCTATTTTGCCCTTGATATGGCTGCGGTAGTTACTAATTTGGGCTGTTGGTAGATTAAGTTGACCATTGTGGAAATGAGTTGCCTGTGTTCTTTAATTTGCACATTGTCAGTAGATCATCACTTTCCACTCCCATCAGTGCTTTTATAGGATTGCGGTCTCAAGCTAATTTGCCCTGTTTAGTAAATCTGACCCTTAATGTTAAATTTGTCATTCACTAACCTCTATGTTGTTTCAAACCCATATGACTTGTTTTTCTTCTGTGCAGCACAAAAGGAGATGTTTAACTAAATGTTTGCAGTGCTTTTTGGTTCTTGCATTGCATGTTTTTTGACCAAAAGGGACTTGTCAAGTTTGGATATGCAGAAGTATGCATGTAATTTGAGTACTTCGGCATAAGTGTTACCAACTTGTTTTTTTGTGAGAAACAGATTGAAATGTATTGCATGTCTGTAAAAGACTTGGAATATAGGACACGTGTTATGTTCCATGTTTACTGACACAAAATAAGTAGTATTTGGCTGATCAGGTGATCTCTGACCATCCAAAATGTGAATGGTATTCTGCATCATTGACATCAGACCTGATATGACACATTTTTGTGTGCCTTCTCTGAATAGTTAATGCATGAATAAAATGTAAGATTACAGTAAATTTCTTTAATGGTGCAGATCTGTAAATTTAGACCTTTATTACACAGTGTCGTGGCTTCAGAGAACGAGTACACTTCAAGTGGTATTTTGAGTAGAGTACACATCTTCATCTTCAATATTTCGAGTAGAAAGTTCTAATTGCAGAAAATAAATGAATAAATGTCACTTTTAGAAGATGAACAAGTCTTTATCATACATAAGAGCTACAAATTTCTTATTTTAAACCATTGCAAATGTCTTGCCCTATAGACTTCCACTGCAAGTGCATTATTGGGGTTTTTGATTGAGAGTAATTGAGTAATTGACAGCATGCCACAGATATTGTTCATAGATCATCACTTGTATTTAACTTGTTTAACTCAGAAGTGAATAAAATTAGTATGTGACAGTGAGCGAGCATTAATGGGATTTAATGTGCCAGCACATATATCTCCCAGACTAACTGTCCCCCTCCCCTGCCACACCCTTTTAGATCCCTTTGTGTCGGGTTATTCGCTTCAACATCGATTACACCATCCACTTTATAGAAGAGATGGCACCTGAGGTATGTGGCACCCCACATTATCAAATTTCACACTTTCCTCATTTTCGTCAGTTCACTATCCTAATCTTGTATAAATTATTATAATTATAAATGTTAGTTACTGTGAATAACATTTCTATGCACATACTTAATAAAAAAAAAACAATTAAAAATTCTCAGAATGGAAGAAAAATATTTTGACACTTTGACTTAATTATTAATGAAACTGAATTTAATTTGAATTTAGTTTCCCTTTGTTATTGATATTTCTAGTGCTACTTCAGACATATTGGTTGTTTCTAGCACAAGTGAAGTGACCCACAAATGCTCAGCTATTGTAATCTGTTGTGTTTGACCAGAACTACTGCATTAAAGGCCTGGAATTGTTTTCCTCGTACCTCTTTAAAGACATCTTGGAGTTGTACGATTGGAACCTCACAGGTAATGTGCACACACACATTCAACTCTACACAAGCACACCATAAGCATATAAGCCATAGTAATATAGTTTTGCTGTCACACAGGTCCTGAAGATAACGGCCAGTCAGGTTGTCAGAGGTTTCATTTTATGCCACGGTTCGTTCGGTTCCTCCCAGGTGAGTTTTAAACGCCCTTCTGTCCATTTCATTGATGAACAAAAATGTATTGATGAAAAAAAAAAAACACTTTTGTTGTACATGTGTACCTATAGGCCTAGTGTTCCTCAAATCCAGCCGCTGCCCTCCAAAGTTTAGCTCAAACCCTGATCAAACTCACTTACCTGTGATTTTCTAGGGATACTGAAGACCTTGTTGAGCTTGCTCAGGTGTGTTTGATTAGGGTTGGAGCTAAACTCTGCAGGGCATTGGCCCTCCAGGGCAAGATTTGAGGAACACTGTTCTGAATGTTGAAAAGATTTGCTTTCAGAAGATGTACACAACAATTACAGTCCCTCTCTTGAAGAATAGGCACCCAAAAAAACGGATGACTTGCTAATATATTGGTGATTGGTTTGTTTATACAGTAGAGAGTTTTTCTCCAAGATGGCTCAGCGGATGGCCACCTTGGTGTGGAGCTCCGCAGTTGTTTTAATGTTTTTATTAGTTTGTCCTGTTTTTAAGCTATATTCCTACAATCACACAGTTTCAGTTTCACCAGGGGTGAATTGCTGAAAATTCGGCAGTAGACGCCACCCAATATTTCACCGGTTTTCGACTATTATGATATTTTGCTGGACATTGTAGTTGGCGGAGCAGCAGCGCTGATCAAGTGCTTTAAGACACGCAAGCGTGGGAAGCAAGCCGGCACACTCGTCAAGCTCAGACAGTACGGCTTTAGAACGGCACTGCCTAGTATCCATCTGGCGAATCTCATTCCGGACAGCGCACTACATCTGCAGGGCTTCCAGCTGTTCAGAGTGGATCGCGACGCAGAATTAGCGGGGGAAATTGCTTGGCGGCGGAACATGCTTTCTACATCAACGAAAGGTGGTGTACAGATGTAACAGCGTTGAAGAAGATGTGCTGTCCTGATCTAGAAGTGCTTTTCATCAACTGTAAGCCATTCTATTTGCTGCAGGAGTTTACCTCGTTCATTCTCGTGAGTGTTTACATTCCATCGCAAGTGCACATGAGCGCGGCGCTACAACAACTGGCTGATCAAATCACAGACATAGACACCCGGACTCCGATATAATCATTCTCGGGGACTTTAAAGGTGAGATATCATGAAAATCTGACTTTTCCAGGTGTTAAGTGCTATAATCAGGACCCCGGTGCATCAACCAACCAAGGAAACGTTAAAAAAATTAACCCAGTCACTTTGGTTTGGTAAGCCTTTTTCTGCAAGCATCAGAGAAAACGAGCGCATCTGATTTCGCTCCCTTGGTGATGTGGCAAAGGTATCTTATTATAATATGACCGCCCCTTAATCAAGCGACAACGGTGTACCAGCTCTAATGCCATGGCGAAAGTTTGAGCAAAACATGCTAACTGTTCTGTCTTTGTCTGCTCAGACGAGCACAGAACACTATTTAGAGACCCAGCCTCAGAGGAGACAAGAGAGCAGTGGATTTATTGAAAATAAACATGCAATTTATTTCCCACCCGTTTAACTTCACAGACATAACCAACTGTTTTTGTAACTCGTGTGCTTTTAACGTACACTTGTGTGTGAATGAGAACTTAGTTTAGTACTCACATGCTACTGTGATAAGATGGACTAATCGAATGGACTAATGCTTTGAATGCACTGAATTGGAGGGTTTTTGAAGCTGCTGCCAACGATTTGGACAAGCTCACCGATTCTGTAACATCATATATCAGTTTCTGTGAGTATATGTGCATTCCTACCAGGACTCATTTAACTTACAACAATGACAAACAGTGGTTCACTGCAAAACTCAGGCGGCTCTGTTGCTTACCGAGCAAACAGGTCTGTGGATGATGCAGTCAACATGGGACTGCATTATATTCTACAACATCTGGATAAACCAGGGACTTATGCGAAGTTCCTGTTTGTGGACTTCAGCTCGGGCTTCAAACACTATCATCCCAAACCTCCTCCTGTCCAAATTAACTCAGCTCTTTGTGCCCACCTCCGTCTGTCAGTGGATCACCACCAATGACTGCACCTCTAAAGACCCCTCTGTCAAGCTTCTGAAGTTCGCAGATGACACCACACTTGTCAGCCTCATCCAGGATGGTGACGAGTCTGCTTATAGCCAGGAAGTTAAAGAGCTGGCTGTCTGGTGCAATCACAACAACCTGGAGCTTAACACGCTCAACAGTGGAGATGATAGTGGACTTCAGGAGAAACCCCCCACCACTCCCCCTACTCACCATCATGAACAGCACTGTGGCTGCAGCAGAGTCATTCAATTTATTGGGCACCACCATCTCTCAGGACCTGAAGTGGGACACTCACATAGACTCCATTGTCAAGAAGGCCCAGCAGAGGCTGTCATTGAATCCGTTCTCTGCAATTCTACAACTGTCTGGTTCAGCTCAGGTACCAAATCAGATCTTAGAAGATTGCAGAGGATAGTCCGGACTGCTGAGCGAATCACTGATACAACCCTCCCCACTCTCCAAGAACTGCACTCATCCAGAGTGAGTAAAAGAGCTGGCAAAATCATTCTGGACCCCTCACACCCAGGCCGCTTCCTCTTTGAACTGTTGTCGTCTGGTCGGTGCTACAGAGCACTGAGCACCAGTACAACCAGGCATAAGAACAGTTTTTTTCACTCAGGCAATCCATCTCATGAACAGTTAACTTGGCAATAAATGTGTAACACTATTTATACGTTTATTTATTTAACACATACACACACATACTTCTTATTTACATTTCCTTGCATTTGTACATTACATACTTGTACACACAAATACCATCTATTGTCTATTTTGTATATTGTTTTTTTTAATTATATTTTTTTGTATATTGTTATTTCCTATTTACTTATCCTATTTGTATTCTTTTTATTATCTGTGTCTTGTCTTGTCATTCTGTTTGTACTGTGGAAGCTTTTGTCACCAAAATAAATCCTCGTATGTGTAAACATACCTGGCAATAAAGCTCTTTCTGATTCTGATTGTGAGAATGCTTCATCAGTGTGATTGATGTTGTCGTGTCTGCTCATGTGTGTCAGATGGAGGAAAGGAGGTGCTGTCCATGCACCAGGTGCTGCTGTATCTGCTGCGCAGCAGCACAGCTCTAGTTCCCGAAGAGGAGATCGCAAACATGCTACAGTGGGAGGAGCTGGAGTGGCAGAAATACGCTGAGGAATGCAAGGGCATGATCGTCACCAACCCTGGCATGGTAAAACACATTCACACAAACAATGGCCTGATGTCAGGTGAGCAGACTGAATATCATATGCCTCTGAATGGCACAGAGGAAGATGAGGAGCATTTTTTAATGTGAGGAAATACAATTATTTAATGTACAATAAATAAATAATAGGTGACAGATACATATGTAAATAGATTCTTTCTGCACTGACATCAGTAGCCAAAAGCTTTTGCATGATTATGCATCCACACTAATAAGTTCAAGGCCACTGTCATGTCATTAAAACACGACTGCACTTTAAATGTGTGCTTGTGTATGTGTCTGTATTCACACAGAAACCCAGTTCTGTGAGGATTGACCAGTTAGATCGTGAGCAGTTCAATTCCAGTGTCATCACTTTCCCCATCATTGTGCATTTTGGTATCCGACCTGCCCAGCTTAGCTACGCTGGAGACCCGCAGTAAGTCTGACTGAGCACTCACCACTTCGCTCTTTGCTTTTTAGCTCGACTTATAATGGTAAGGGTTTTCTGAAGTGGTTCTTATAATTTAATTTAAACCAATACTATGCTTAAGTTCCTAAAAAAGTTTACTTTAAGGGTGTTTACACTTTACAAGAACAAGCTCAGACCTCTTTTAGTTAAAGCAGTTGTTCTCAATTCCAGTCCTCACGACCGACCGCTTTGCACATTTTGTGTTTCTCAAATGTCACTTCAGACGTTTGTTCTAATCTACCATAAGTGCCCTGCAAAGTGGACTTCACAGGATATTCTGCCATGATTCCGGTTCGAAGGGAGCGCATATTTTCCATTCAAAGGGCATTAAAGTGTGCAAGACGTGAATTTAAATTGTATTTACTATTTATTTACAGAGGTAAATTGTCACGCTGCAGGCAGTGGCATTGGCGTAGCGCAAATCCGTGAATGAATGTTCAGAAGAAAAGTAAATTTTCAACTTTCACAGTTCATGCTTGGAGCTCTCTTCTAACAAGCTGTTTATCTGAATCAGGTGTGTTAAATAAGAGAGACATGCAAAACATGCAGAGCGTTGGGTTGCCAGGTTTGAGAACCACTGAGTTAAAGGGAATAAAGGGAACAGAGTTAAACAGAAATCTCTCTCCCCTTGAGTTATCATAAGCCACATTCCCTCTGTTTTTGACCTATTCAATATGATAATAAAACAACAATAATCAAAATGAGTATGTTTTTTATGGTGAATATTGAAAATATATATATATGAAAAAATTACAGCAACAAAATGTTACAGTACAACTGTAAAATTGCAATGCTAATATTTACTAAATTTCTTCATTTTCAAACATTATACCATTAAGCTTTTATTTTGATGCAGTGAGTTATTATTAATAATGATTTTTTTAATAATATAATAATGATAAAGGTGAAATACTGCAGTTTACTGCTTTCATTGCAGGTATCAAAAGTTGTGGAAGAGTTATGTGAAATTGCGGCACTTGTTGGCCAACAGCCCGAAGGTTAAACAAATTGAAAAACAGAAGTTAACGCAAAGAGAGGTGAGTGGCTGCATGTGTGGTTTATGTACATAGAAATAGCTAATGTGACAAAGACACCTTAAATAATAAATATGATCATTATGGAAGGGTAGCATGAAGTTCTTTTTCATAAAAATAAAAAAAAAAAACTTGCGCATTGACTGAATGAGCAGTTTGAAGGCATCAGGTTTTAGTACAGTACATTGTCATTATTGTGTGAATACTGTGTCCAAAAACTGTGATTTACAGGAAGCTCTGCAGAAGATCAGGCAGAAGAATACGATGAGAAGGGAGGTCACTGTGGAGCTCAGCAGTCAGGGTTTCTGGAAGTCTGGTATCCGCTCTGATGTTTGCCAGGTACACATATACACAAACACACATTCACTTCAGAACTTGGGTTTGCTGAAGTGTTGGCTAGGGCTCAAACAAGATAAACATAACAAAATAAAAATGAACATTTGTATCTAAAACTGTGCTTTTGAATTTAAAATGTGTGGCGAAAACTTGATTAGCACAGATGTTAATTAAAACACTGCATTCAGAAAGTATTCAGTTCAGTTTTTTTTTCCACATTGTTCTATTGCACATAATGTTCCATCACTCAAATCGTTGTACTTGAGTTAACTGTGAATTAAGTCATATTTAAAGGGGTCTTATGACGTTGCTAAAAAGAACATTATTTTGTGTATTTGGTGTAATGCAATGTGTTTATGCGGTTTAAGGTTAAAAAAAACATTATTTTCCAT